AAGCAGCCTGAGGCCTGTGCCAGATGCAGCTGTCCCAGAATCACAAACTACATAAACCTCTGTTCTTTATAAATTACCCAGTCTCAGGTAATCCTATTATAGCAACACAAAAACTGACTAAAACACCATCCACTTGTGTATTATTGTCTCCATTTTTATGAACAGAAGACTGAGGCCCACAAAGAGGAAATGACAGTCCATATCTTAGAGGAGAGACTATCAATCACTGATTCACCTGTCAATCACTTAACACCTGTCAACCATCATGTATTCAATAAAGCCCAGATATCACATCAACAGATCTTTAAGTTAGAGCCTGGGATCGAGGGGTCTGAGGAAGAGAGGCTTTAGATGATAAAGACTGAGTCAAAATGGCTCTGGGGAGCTCAAGGCTGAGTTCCCTAGATTTGAGGATAGTCACTCAGGGACAATTATAGGATCAGACAAAACACAGGAATTAAAAAACAGCAGAACATACATTTACACTAGAAAAATGGAAAACCAGGGATCAATGGTACGCAACAGTTAGCTCTCTCACAAGACCTACTCACTCACCCTGAAACATCATCCATTTTTATTCTAATCTTCATTTCACACAAATGCACATCAATGTGGACAACTCAGCCAGCCCTGTTTGAGGAAGAAGAGCAGTAGCAGCAGGCGCTCTGAGAAACCCATGTGTGAGAGACTTTGCCTAGTTTCTGGCATAAACCAGGGAAGGAAACACAAAGCTCAGGTTTCACCCCAACACACAAAAATAATAATAATAATTTCATAAGAAGTATTTAATAGATGGACAGATGGACAGGTGTATGGAACTTGGGAGTCTGGGCAAATAACTTTTAGAAAATGGAGTGTAAATTAGAGCAAGAATTATGCAGTGCTGTTTCCCTAGGTATTCCCTATGTATTTTTCTATGTATATCTGTATGTATTTTCACCGGTATTTTATTCTAATATGCAGTATTCACTAGAGTAGAGTTCAACTGAGTCATATAATCCATTGAAGACCCACAATTTAGTTTAATGTGTGAGAAGAAACATTTTTATGGTGAATTAGAAGAGTTATATTAATTAATTGTTAACAAATTAAAAGAAAAAAAGATTTTTTTCTTTTTGCTTTAGAATAGATTGTAACAAAATACATGTTAGTTTTACACTTCTTTAACTGAACGTTAAAAAAAATAAGCTAATGTTCAATATCATCAACTTCTTAGCCCACATTCAAATTTCCCCAATTCATCCCACAATGTGTCAGGTTGTCAAATCAGCTTAATAAAGAAGCAGAATTTCACATGCTATCATGTGAGTAGAGAACAGTACTGACCACCAGGTCCTGGTTTACAGGCAGCAGGATTTACTCCATGGAAAATGAATAAAATTTCCTCCTTTGGTTTGTAAGGGATGGAGCAGAGGCCTGTGGAAAGGTAGTCTCATCCTTCAATGACATCACCAGCAGAAGACCACAACAAAAGGTCTTTTGGGGCCGGCCCAGTGGCGCACTGGATAGTGCGCCGCTTAGGAGGCGCGGCAGCGCTGCCGCCCGAGGGTTCGGATCCCACATACAGACCGGCTCCCGCTCA